ACATAGATTAAAAATGGCTCTGCTTTGCAGCTTGTGATCCAACTTTCCAGTGTTAAATAACGTGTATATACACACATACACACGTACATCCTGGGCTTGTCAGCCAGCAAGGTTTTGAATCCTGGTGAGGGATCACCATCTGGAAGTGGACAGTAAGCTGTTCCTGTGCAGAGGAAGGAGGAATGATTCAGGGCTGTCTGCTGGATAGTTTTCAGGATGCTTTGGCAGTTTGACTCATGTATACACGCAGACTGAAAATCACAAAGAATGTCACTCCGCTGGAGGCCAGGGTTTTGAGTAGTACCACTGCATCCACGAATGTAGGGCAGCAAGGAGATGAAGTTACAGCTCTCTTCTACTTACTTCTCAATTTCGGCCCTTATTACATATAGACAACTTATTTATGCATTGAGTTACAAAAGAATGTAAATGGAACAACATTATAGTAACTATCACGTAAGAAATGCCTCTTTTAAACTCTCCGGGGAAGAGCCTATTTTGGAACAGCACACAGCTCTGAGGGACTTTGACCTATCAAAGTCCTTCTGTGACACAGATGCCAAATAATCTGGACAGCTTTATGCAGCGTGTCTCTTTCCAGTGAACATATGTTAATCCTTCTGTGTTACGTGGTGTATTTACCTTCAGAGGAAGAGATCTGACTTTACTAAAAATGATACAATTTGTAGGGCTGCCTTCAGCTTCTCTCTTGGGGAAGTCATACTTAGTAATTCATACTGCTAACTACATCTTCCTTATCTTGTGTCCTCTACACCTTTTTAACTTGAGAAGATCTCAGACAGATACAGAAGAGCAGTGCTCTTTTCTGTTGTTTCCTCTTATTTTTTTGTTACCCAAAACGTCTCCTGAGAGTCAAAGCCTGCACTGCAGTAGAAGCCTGCTTGACGCTTCCTTCCTAGCAGACCACACTCTTCACATCTCCCCCTGTTGTTGCTACGTTATGCCTTTTTTTGTTGTTTTAGTTGATAATCTATGGACTATGGTCTCAGATACAGATTTTCTTTATGCACTGTTGAGGTTAAAGTTACATTTTTAGTGAAGAGCATGCTGTAATAGCTTCAAAAGCTTCCCAAGGGAATTCTTCGGAAGAAAAGGAGTCAAGGATTTTTTTTTTTGACCCTCTTCAAAAGAAAAGAAACTGAGTGCACATGTCCTGCTCGCATCACAGCCCTATTAACTGAGTTTCAGCAAAGGCCTCACTGAACTCACCCACAGCTCAGGCTGACCCAAACCTGTGCTGCTTCTGTCCCACTTTCTCCTTTTGATGATGCTGGTGCTCATCCAATTCTGGGGTTAAATGATGCAAGGAACTTGGTCTTGCTCCCTGAAGGCTGAGCAAAAATAGATTAGGATTTTTTGGTACTGGTTTAGTTCCAGGACAAGCAGAGAGGGAGATGGGAACCAGCGGAGCTGGGAACCCAGGCAGAATTCATTTTTGCTTCAAAAAAAATACATGCAGTGGCTTTCAAGTCTAGCTTCGTGTTGCTATTATGCCGAAGAAACAAGCGTATTTGATTTAGGTTTGTTTTCCCTTTTCTGTAACTGTGGAAATCACATTGATCCTTGTTTGACTCACAACTATTTCAAAATAACATTATAGTGACTAACATCTGAAAAATGTGCGTGGCATTTGACTCGCAGTTCATGGCTCATTTCATTGGAGGGCCTCCGACTGCCACAAATTGCTTTAAATTGGCAGAGCTCTTCTCATAACAAGCGATATTTCAACATAATTGAATTGGGTTCCCTTCCCAAGAGGAAGCAGTACTCCCAAAGCTTTCTGGAGATGTCACCCCATCAGTGGTCACCTCCTGGCCCACGGGCAGGTATGGTTGCTCATGGGGTGACTCAGCCAGCCTTGCCGTGAAGGCCCTGGCATGTTTGTTCGACTTCTGCCTGGTGAAGACGAGTGGACCTGTGGGAGTACTTTAGGGAGCTTATAAACAGGAGGAAGACTGACTTTTTACTTGAGTAGATAGTGATTGGACAAGGGAAAATGGTTTTTAACTAAAAGAGGGGAGATTTAGGTTAGATGTTAGGAGGAAAACTCCTTACTCAGAGGAGGGTGAGGCACTGGCACAGGCAGCCCAGAGAAGCTGTGGATGTCCATTCCCTGTGTATGATCAAGCCAGGCTGGAAGAGGCCTTGGGTAGCCCCATGTGATGGGTGGCAGCTCTGCCCAAAGTGATGGAATGGGAATTGGATGGGCTTTGAGGTCCCTTACAACTCAAGCCAGTCTGTGATTCTATGACCCAGCAGTGGTGCTGCCAGCCCTGCTCTGCTCTGCAGGGCTGCTTGGCAGCTGGGGCAGCCCCCCAAGCCACTTGCAGGCTGTGATTCAGTGCTTATGACAGCAAGGTCCCACAGCTGGACCCAGCCTGCCCAAGCTGCCGGCCATCTGTGTCTGGCTAGCGATGAAACGGCAAGCAAACAATTCATTCGATACAAGTCATTCCCTGCTTGCCTTTTTAACTGGCAAGGTGCCTTGAAACTCATAGGAAGCAGCCGCGTCCAAACCTTTGGCCAGCAGCGTGCAGCGGGGTGGGTGGGTGTATTCCATGTGTAGATAGACTGAGATTTCAATCTCTCTGGGTCTGCTATTGCTATAACATTATGCTGAAGCAAATGGGAATGCGAAAGCCAGGTAAGTACAGTCCATATCACAGAGCATTCACTCAAGTACTGTTTGGAAGCAAAGTTTGTGATGCTGCGGTTGTCCCAGGGCCAGATGTGGGAGAAATAGGGTTTGGTTTCAGAGACAACAGATTAGGAAGCAGAATGAGGATCTGTCCTGGTTCAATTCAAATACTTGATGATTAAGACTTAAAGTTCCCAAAAGCTCTCTCCTACCATAAGCCCTTAATCCTTTGTTGGTATTCCACTTGATTTTCACCGCATAGCCTTTCAATTCCCCCCCTCATAATCCACACTGTGCCTTACGGATGAAATACATGCTGCCAGGTAATGAAATCTCATTTTCTGTTAAAGGATCATTGTGGGTAATCCTGTGACAGTGACAGGACAGTGTTACCCACTGCAAAACCAGCTGGCTGCTTTTTGGTATGGATGGATTTGCTCTCTTTGTGCTGTGCCTGAATCGTTAGGGCTGTGGTCCTGCTCTGGACTTATATCCTGTAAAATCCCTTTGTGAGGCCAGGGGCTTCTGCACGTCTGTGTGTTTAACAGTGAAAATAAATCCTGTGAACACGAGAACAGGAAATTTAGGACTACCAAAGCACAGTCTGTACCTGTGGCTGTGTTGGGCAGTGCTGCTCCTGATTTTAGGATTTAAGCCTTTCAGGTCTGATCCTAATGTGTTTCATTCATCTCCTCAAACTGCATTGCTGCAGTCGAGCAGTGTGAGCAAAGAATCCTCTTACGCCACAGCTCTTGTTGCCATTTGACTTCACCTGTAAATAGCAAGCTGCTATGATTAGCACCATGCCTTGTGTCTGTCCCTGGAAACAGTCTGAATTCAGCATGGATGGGATTCCTTTGCATGGTAATTGGGGAGCAAGGACGTAGGCCTTTAACTGGGACCGCTCAAGAAGGGCAGCTTTTCTGTCTCTGTGAGATCTCTACTGGTTGAAAAAACAGCAGTGCTTTAAGGTCAGCTCACAAAGGAGATGTGTGGTTTTCAAAGAATCACAGAATGGTTGGGTTGGAAGGGAGCTGAAAGCCTACCCAGCCCCTACGTTGTGCTGTAGGCAGGGCTGCCCCACAGTTTAGCTGCCCAGGGCCCCATCCCACCTGGCCTGGAGCGCACCCAGGGATGGGGGAGCAAGCACAGCTTCTTTGGGCAGCTGTGCCAGCACCTCACTGCCCTCTGAGAAAAGGATTTCCTCCTAACACCTAACCTGAATCTGCCCTCTGTTAGTTTTAAAACCATTCCGCCTTGTTCTATCACTATCTGCCTGTGTAAAAAGTCAGTCTCCCTCCTGTTTATAAGCTCAGGTTTTTGTGTTTGGGCAGTTGGATGAGCTGAAAAAACCTTGGATGAGTTTCCTCAAATTCTTCTTAGGTTTCTGCCTTGTCAGTTCAGCAAATCAAACCAGTTACAGTTATTTTAAGTTATTCACAGTTATTGGAACCCATTGTAAGAGAGACACGTATGAGGAAAAATGCATTCTGGAGATCAGCTGCTTTGGATTTGTGTAAAATTGAGGTTTGTGTAGTTTGTGTGCCTGTGGAGGAAGGGCAGGGGATGAGAAGACTGATGACGACAGAATTCAGCTAATCTTGTGCTTTTAAACCAAACAACTCCCCTCCCCCTAAGAATTCTTAGCGCAATGGTCTGATGAGGTATGGAGGGGAACCTCTCTGTGTCATCCATAAAGTGCACAGCTTTTGATTTCTTCTGCTGAAAATCTGGAAAGTGAGATCATTTGGATGTGTGTGTGCAGGCTCACCCTGTAGGCACAAGTACCTGGACAGTTTAGATTTTGGATTGGGCTGAAGCCCCATTTGTATAACTGAGAAAGGGAATTTTACCCAAACTTATTTTGGATCTCCCTGGCCATTAGGAGTAAAAAGGTCTTGATTGATACTGAGCTTGGAAAAGCATAGAGCAGAAAAGCTAGGTGGTTAATGGAAAAAAATAAGAGCTAATTCCCCTTTTCTGTAAGTGGATGGAAAAGGAGGACTTTGCATGTTGAAAATAATTGCTGTAAAAACGAAGTTTTTTCCTATGAAAATGAGGTGAGGGAGAAGTCTGCTCAAGTGGATGAGTGGAACGCCATCACCTTGTCTACACCTTCTGCACACAGCAAGTAACACAGTGATGATGTAGGTCATGCTTTGGTCTGGGATGTAAACTATTGGAGAGGTACAAGGGAACACTGCAGAAAACCAAACTTCGTGGGGAAAATGCCTTTTTCCATTACAAGTCCATTTTCTGCATTGGTCTGAGCACCTGGAAATGCTGGAAATGACAAAATGTTGCTAAGTGACAGGCGGTCACGGTTCTCATTGTCTTTCAGACTAACAGTGATGCCAAAGGAAAAATATGATCCTCCCGATCCTCGCCGAATTTATACCATCATGTCAGCAGAAGAGGTAGCCAATGGGAAGAAGTCTCACTGGGCTGAATTAGAGATCTCGGGTGAGTTGGTTTGGGTTTGAATTTTAGTTTGGTAGGGTTTTTGAATTTAAGAGCTTCACAGCCCAAGAACTGCATCAGCCACTCTCAGGTAGGGGATCCTGCAGTGAGAACAGTTTTTCTACATTGAGAAGAAGCGTTAATTAACTTACCAGATTGCCTTCAAGCTTTCGTGTAAAACATGAACTGAGACTGCGTGTGAGGTCTTAGCAGCACGTTGATGTCCCAGACCTCTATCTCTGTCTCTACCCTCTTAACCAGGAGCGTCAGGGAATTGTTTAAGAGCCGCTTGTGGATGAGATGCATGCAGATATCTTCTGCATGCTTCATTGAAGTAGCGGGGTATTCTCATGTCCCATATGGTTTGTTTGTAATGGTTGGAGGGAGTAAAGCTGACTGAGGTGCTTGGTTTACTTTTTTAGGTAGAGTACGGAGCTTAAGTACGTCCCTTTGGTCACTGACGCACTTGACTGCTCTACACCTCAATGACAATAATCTTACTCGCATTCCACCTGATATTGCCAAGCTTCATAATCTGGTTTACCTGGATCTGTCATCCAACAAACTCAGAAGTTTACCAGCAGAACTAGGAAACATGGTGTCTCTCAGGTAAGAGAAAGCATTTGGGTTAAATTTCCAAAAAAAAGTCTATATTCTGAGGTTAAGATGAGATTTTTTTACTTGGATTCATTCTTGTTTACTAACTCTATTCTTCGATTTAAAACCTGAGAAAAATCAAGGTTGATACAAATGTTCAATTCTAACAATTACTTCTAGTTTTATAATTCTGTTTTTCTCCACAGATACCTATCCATAAGTTGGGTAGCGTTCTGCTCTGAAACATTCTCACTTTGAGGCTTTGTGATTGCCCACTGTTAAAATAGTGTCTGATTTTATTTTGCTGGTTGTTTGTTGTTGGGGTTGGTTTTTTTTGCTTTGTTTTGTTCTGTAGCGTTTTGTTTTCCTGATGTATTTCAGTTGTGCTTCGACAATTTGCATGTCTTTGTGTAACACAAAAAATTCAGGGTGAAAAGTGCCATCTTTGAAAATGAGCAGCATCATGCTTCAAGAGTTTTCTTCTGAAGTGACACTCATCAAAAGCATTTTTTGTATTGTTGCAGGGAATTGCTTTTAAATAACAATCTGTTACGGGTTTTGCCTTATGAACTTGGACGGCTCTTCCAGCTACAAACCCTAGGTTTGAAAGGTGAGTTCTTTACAGTTAAATATTTCTCAGAGTTCTCTTGACTTACTGAGGGAGTTGGGCTCAGAAGCTTTGTGCATTACCTCAACATTTTCTTACAGTTTCAGATATTAAGCAGCAATGACTAACCAGTTTGGAAAATAATGCTTTTTTTAACGGTATTAAGCTGCATTATGAACCTATTTTAAATCCATAAGTGCATCGACAAACCCCATAACTTACTCTATTTATTGATTGAGGTGAATTAAAAAAAGAAAAGTCTTGTGTCTAGCTATTTCTATAGCATCTGTTACCGTGGTATTCAAGAGTTACAAGCTAAGCAATCTAAATACCTTCTGGGTCAATTTGTCTGTTCTCATTATGGGAGATTTTCTTTTATTGGAAAGCCTCAGGAAAGTCAGGCAGCTAATCACCCAGTTGTTCTGTGTTGTTGGCAGGCAATCCTTTATCACAAGATATTCTCAGCCTCTACCAAGATCCAGACGGAACTCGAAAGCTACTGAACTACATGCTTGACAATCTAGCAGGTGACAGACCTACAAATCTTGACTGACAGAAATGGTTTAAAAGCATGCGTGTCTGACCGTATTTGCCACTAAAGCAAGAAAGTAAACCACAGAGGGGAGAGCATTTTCTAACTGCTTTTGTGTTTTTGTCAAGCAGTTCTAGTCATACACACGCACAAATGAAGGAAGAGGTTCATATATATATATATATATATATATACATATATACATATACATATACATATATACATATATGTACATATATATATATACTTTTCACAGGTTACCCAGCCGGTTGTTCTCACTGCGGTTTGAAACCCTTCAGTTACCAAAAGTCTTCCTTGCTAAAGCCATTTGAATACTTTCCCTTTGAAATTGTAACACAAGCAAACACAAGCAGAATGTCAAACTGATTAAGAATATCCAGTACCTGTGTCATGGTTCTGTAACTGAGTTTTCTGTTTTGCCACTTGATCTCTCATATGGTAAAACAGAACAAACTTCTGCCTCTGCTCTAAGTTTCCACAGATGGAATTTTAAATGGTCTTGGGGTCTGCTCACAGCTGAGCTTTAAAGTGTTTAAAATAGCCATGCTTTGAGGTGGCACATATTATGCCAACTCATAGCAATCTCCAGCTTTGTAAATTGAGAGTATGCATTGCAGAAACGATGGATGTACGGCAAAGTTCTTGAGGAGGGGAGTATATGATGTCTAAACCACTACAAGATTTACCTCTTCTTTCTGAACAGTATTTTCAAGGTGCATGTGTATATCTTTGTCTCCCAGGGAAGCTTAAAAAGGCATGGGGAATTGCTGTTGTGAAGTACAGTATGGGACATTATTGTTCATTCATGAGTTTGATTTAGACTTTGCATCTGAATTAATCATTATTTCTTTGTGTTGCTTTTATTTTTAGTTCATCCAGAGCAGCTGCCTCCAAGGCCATGGATTACTTTGAAAGAACGAGACCAAATTCTGCCCTCAGGTAAAACTGTGGTTCTTTTCCCTATGTTCAAATAGTGATGTGCTGAAGAACTTTTCTTTGGCTTTTTTTTCAGAGTGGTCTTCTGACTTACATGGATCAGATGTAAAACAGCAATTTGTGTTAATTCATATTAAATAATTAACACGTCTGTGCTGTAAATACCATTTTTGTAATTCAGATGGAATGCTGGTCATTTCTTCTTTGTGTTAGGCTTTTTTATATTATTTAATTTCCTGGTCACCGATGTCCAAGCAAAAGAATAAGCAAAAGAATATTTTTTTAAAGTCATTTCACAGAAGTAGCAAGAACTATAGCACAACTGCATACCATGCCATATCCTAGCATAGGCAGAGTAGGGTGAGACTTGGAGAAGTCCGTCTGCAAGAGAAGAGACAGAACGAGTGGAACTGAAGTTAGTGTAACGCCCTCTGTTGTTGATTTTGATGAAGTTCACGAGGCAATCTTCAGTCTACGAATCCAATGCCTCTTCCCCTGAAGTCTTGAATGTAACCCTCAAGAAACATCCAGGAGCTTTTGTAAAGAACAAAAATGCTACTACTGTTATAGCAGAAGATCAAATTAATAATCAGCAAGGGCGATTTGGAAATCCTCTGGATTTTTTTTTTCCATTTTAGAAGCCCAAACTGAAATCAGTAGTGTGTTAGGGACAGTGACACCATAGTTAAGATAATCTGTCTGTTTTTTAAATTAAAGAACAACAAATCAGAAAAAAAAATAGTAAGAAAGGGGAGAGGTACTAAAAGTCTTGCAAGTCACCACTGCATTGAGTTCTGCATTTCCATTTTAAAATCCTTAAGAAATCAGCATCTCACTGCAGTTTTTTATCCAACTTCCTTAGCACAAACACAGTTTAGAAGCCGCTAGACAACACTGCATCAGCTGAGTGAGCTGCAGGATATTTCATGGTAAAAACTGCAGTAAGCCAATTGGTTGTGAATGGCATGAAATCAGTTGTATAAAATTGAAACAACTGAGCAGCAATATTATTTGACTACAAACAGAAAAAGTACAGCTGTGAGGTAACCTCACAGTGAAACCTCACTTCTTTTTCTGCAAGGATGAGCAGTCTTGTTGAAAAATTAAAGAGAGTTGAGAATTTTGTACGTGAAAGAAGTGTGTTTCAGTTTAAATTATCAGCTGCATGCTGACTTTTTTCTTCTTTAATGTCACCAAATAATATATAAAGTGCTTGCTCATTCATTACTTCATTTCTCTTTCTCTTCCTTGCCCTCATCCAGTGCAGAAATGGCTGTTCCTTTCCATCTCCAACCCCCAGATCTGGAGAGATGGTTCCTAACTGTTGTCTTCCTTCCTTGATTACCAAAAGAACTAAAGATTTAACTGCAAAATGGGATTGCATTGCTTTGCTATGTGTATTAAGCAGTCTCATTTTGGTAGTAATGCTGATTATTTTTAGGAAGAGTTTAGCCTTATGTGATAACTCCTGGCTCAGCGGGGCCTTTGTTAGTCCTGTTCATGAAACTCTCAGTGGAATAAGCCCACGTGCATTCAGTAGGCCCTCCAGAATAAGCTGTGCAAGATTGAGTGTTTTCACTCTGCAAGTTCAGCATTTGTTGCCTTCAGAGATTGATAATATTTCCTTTTCTTTATTTCTTTCTAGCTTCATTCACAGTTATGTGTTACAACGTGTTGTGTGATAAATATGCCACCCGGCAGCTCTATGGCTACTGCCCATCCTGGGCACTGAATTGGGAGTACAGAAAAAAAGGAATCATGGAAGAAATTGTCAACTGCGATGCAGATATCATTAGTCTACAGGTAACTGGAAAATTATTTTTCATTAGAAACAGAAAATGCCACTGTTCCTGCTTGGTATAGAAGTTAGCATCTCAAAAATAATCTCACTAGAAAACAAGGGAATTGGCATGTCAAAGTTAAGTATTGATTGTCATTGGTACATGTATACCATTGTTATGAAAATTCCATTGTCAGTGTTCAGAGCAGTTGAGTACTTCTGCCTTTAAACTGATACTTTGGTTTCTAAGCAAAGTCTGTATGAGTAAAATTCATGCACAAGAAGAGAATATTTATCTCAGTGCAGAAACCTCAAGAGAATATCTTGGAGATGAAAAGTTATTACAAAGAAAATGTGTTGCTACAGAACAAGGAGAGACCCTGCTGTGATAGAGCTCTCAAGGTTAAATATTAACTGCTGCCACTACCTGTCATCCTGCACAAAGTTTTAATCTAGGACAGTATCCACACTCAGATGTCAAAAGCAGCAGAGTAATCTTCAAAGCACACCTGTCACTTTCCCTTTCAAGGGGATTCCAGGATATCCAGGAATGCATATCTGATTCCATCAGTCCATTAGTCGAAGAAGTGACATGACTTAGACAAACAGAAGCTTTTGACTTTGGTGAGGGCTTCTGCTTGCAAGCCAAGACAAGCAATAGCTGTCACACTGGAAGGGTTTACTTGACTTTGTTAGCCTAAAGTATTTGTGTTCAATTTTAGGAAGTGGAAACGGAGCAATACTTCACTCTTTTTCTGCCAGCCTTGAAAGAACGAGGATACGATGGATTCTTTTCTCCGAAGTCACGTGCCAAAATCATGTCTGAGCAGGAGAAAAAGCATGTGGATGGCTGTGCAATATTCTTCAAAACTGAAAAGTAAGAAACAGCTCTTATTAAATACATCAAAAGTAATTTAATTTAAGTCTCAAAGTCTCCTTCTCTCAGTGGACATCAGTGACAAAATTACTGTGCTATAAAACAGAGGATGAAGTTCAGTACCAAGAATGATCCTCCTTCTCCTTTTACTGCCCTGACTATTTGCAGCAGGCCTTCCCTTTTTTTTCATGCTGTGAACAAAGCTACAACTTGAGGAACATGAAAGTTGGAGGGAAGGTAGTATGAGTGAAAACGTACAACAAATATGTATGTATTTGTTGGCTGATATAATAAATAGCTCACCTTCTTTACAAATTCTGCCTTGCTCAGCAAGTCTCACCTCTCTAAGATTAATGTTTAAAGGTCTTTAGTCTGGCTTAATCTTCTGGTATTAAAAGTTGTATTGCTGCCACAGGATCACTGAATACTCTGCTGTAATGTGGTTGCATTATTGAACATCTGCTCTATAAAGTTACACTGCACTAAAAGCGTCAGACTATTGGGAAGGCAAGAGAGGTGATGGCATTCACACTATTCACACTTCTTTTTTGTGTGAACTGCTCATGGAGCCATACCTCTGTTGTACCACATGGGCATCCTTCTGACTATTCCCTCAGAACAGATGTCAGTAATTAGAATGGAAGCTTCACAAAGCCTCAGCTCCCTTTCAAAGCTTTCATTGTTTCCAGAAACAAAAATATTCCATGTGTAAAATTAGATGAACTGGTTTTGAATAGAGGATGTTAGTGAAAACCAACAACTGGTGTTTTTAAACCTTGATGCTGAGGAAGGGGATATACCGAATTGCCTATTACATTTTGGCTCTCACAGTAAGAAAAACAGAAGATATCTGTTTGTTTGCTAATAATTGTTATGCTTTTTTCATTATTATTATTTTGTTAGAGGACAGAAGCAAAAAAAATCCTTTCAATAGGTACCTTTCAGTTTGTCCTGAAGCGAGGCACTTTAAAGCATCCTAAGTTTGGAAAGGAATGAACAAAACTGATGGTGATGGCTTGGGGTTAGAAAGAAGCTGTTTTTTAATAATACATTTGCCCAAAGCAAAAACAAGCCTTTAATTATCAGTTTTTTTGCCTACAACACTCCAGAGCTGGTGCAGTAACCTCTGTACATTGCCTTGAATAGTCCTCTCAGAATGTGGCATGGAAACAAGTAGACATTTCCTGAACCTTAGATATCTCATCTTCCAGAAGAGTACTTTACTTGCCTTACTTGGCTGGAAGAATAATTCTTAGAATTGTTTCTGCTTTAGGAAATGAGAGAACAAAAGGAACGTGCGTTATCCTGTCTTGTAGGCTTTGTCCGTGGATATGGGTTTCCACACAGCTGTATGTCACACATGTTTACATGTGTTTCTGTTTGTTTAATCAGATTTTCACTGGTGCAGAAGCATACAGTGGAGTTCAACCAGGTGGCAATGGCTAACTCTGAAGGTTCAGAAGCTATGTTAAATAGAGTGATGACGAAAGACAACATCGGAGTTGCTGTGGTGCTAGAAGTGCACAAAGAATTATTTGGAGCAAGTAAGTATGAACATGGTTATCTCATAGATTGACTCTAAGTTTCACTTGAAGGCATGACCTACTCTGTAGCTAATGCATCTCTGTGTAATATTCTTGTCATTGGCTGAGGTCACCAAATACTTGCAAGCAAGCAAACACTGTTCGCTGTGCTAATTTGAGAAAGGGCGGCCCATCGGTGGCTAGGACAGGACACAGGTGACTTGATTTCCTGTCCTGGTTGTGCTTTCATCCAGATGCCCAGCATTCAGCTTTCTCCTTTCAAACTTTTGTCTTTGTTTATTTAGAATACTAAATTCTGCTTGACAATTTAGGCTTTTTCAAGGCCATTGTGTTCGTATGCCTATGCTCTTACCAGTAGTTGTTGCTACTGCTCAACTTTTATTTTCCAGTCTCTTTTTTTTTCCCTTGACTGAATTCTTCCATCCTCCCCTAGTGATTACATGACAGCGCTGAGGTTCTGATGTGGAAGAGTGATATTATCCAGTATCTTTGATGCCACTTGATTGACTGGCTGTCATACTTTCATTATGTTTGATCAGATGTAGAAGACAATTTCAGGATACTTAGAATTGCCATCCTGCTCTGTCTGTACGTCTGATCACTGGTTTCTAATACATACTTTTCAAAGGAGCAGGATGTCCAGATTGCAGGACAGCAAGAAGCTGCCTGTAACTTTATGCCACACCTTTCAGAGTATTGTTTCTCAGATAAATAGAATCAGCAGCTGTAGTATTTTCAAACAACTAGGTTCATGCTGCATTTTTTTGAGCAGGTTTGAGTTTTCCCCAGGGGAACAATTCTCCATGCTGCAGCAGCTAAGAGTCAGGAAACTCTCTTGTGGTGTAAACATTGAGATGTGTGATTTAAAAGTCAAGTGATAACCACCTTCACTGTGAAATTCATAATGCTCCTTAGTGACTACACATTGGGAAATGTTATTGAGAAAGTCTGTCCTAGAGATGTGGAAATGAAGAGAAAGGTAGAACATTCAGAGGATGCTAAGAAAAGCAGTGAAGCAGTAAAGAAGGAATACAACTGTAATTCTGTTGGAGTTTTGGTGAAATAGTGTAAAGTAACAGTGGTTCAAGTAACACTTTTTTTCTCAGCAGTGAAAGTATATCTGTCTCCTGGTGTGTGTGCCTTCAAGTCCTTAGGTATTTACACCCTGATCGTAATGGGGGAGAAATCTGCCATGTTCACACAGTCAGCCTTGTCACTGAAAAAAGTGTATTTCTCTGTCTAGGTATTAAATCTCTTCATGTGGACAAACAGCTGCTCATTGTGGCTAATGCCCACATGCACTGGGACCCCGAATACTCAGATGTGAAACTCATTCAGACTATGATGTTTGTCTCAGAACTGAAAAACATCCTTGAGAAAGCCTCAAGCAGGCCTGGTAGCCCAACAGCAGATCCTAATTCTATTCCCCTGGTGCTTTGTGCGGATCTTAACTCATTGCCTGATTCAGGTAAGGCTGATTACTGTGTCTTAATTTTTAACTTAACCTTTTTACATTCCCTTTTTTCTGCTGAGGGACACTGATACCCTCAGTACTGCTCTGGGTAGGTGTTGTGGAAAGCTTTCTTACTAACAGTTGTTTTCCAAAATTTGAATGAAGAAAATGCAGGTCCCCAGCTGTGTAGCTTGCTTTTCATGATCTGTTGTACTCTCTAGAGAAGTTAGTCGTGCCTCAAAAGATTCATAGAGAAGCACAAATAAATTCTTAAATAAAAACCAGTGCCTTGAGCAGCAATAGTAAGTAGGATGGACATGTGTTCATGATATAATGTGAAAATTTCCTACAGAGATGCACTTGCTTTAGTAATTATGACGTTTGGTGTTGTAATAACAGGAGTAGATATGAAAGCTGCCTCCCTGGCACCCCTTGTGTCACACACACATTATAATACACGTGCTTCGGTTTTACTGTAATCCCAAAAGAACTGTAGCAGCAGCGATGGAGCACCTGTGTTCTGCGGCTGCCTGTCAGAAAAGTGTAAATGCATCAGATGTGGGCAAGATCGCTGTGCTGAATGATGCTTAAATGGAAAGTCCTTTTTTTCCTGATTTCACATGGTCTCTCGTTGATGTTTTCATTAATTCCAAGGTCAAAATGTCATGAATCTTGTATGTTGAAGCAACTGCCTAAATCCTTTCCTTTGCAAACAGGTGTAGTGGAATACTTAAGCAATGGCATAGTAGCTGACAACCACAAGGACTTCAAGGAGTTGCGTTACAATGAGTGTCTCATGAACTTCAGCGGCAGTGGAAAGAACGGGGCTTCTGAAGGAAGAATTACACATGGCTTCCAACTCAAGAGCGCCTATGAAAACAACTTGATGCCTTACACCAATTACACTTTTGATTTCAAAGTAAGCAGTGATTTTTCTGAAATGGCAGACATTGACCTGGTCTCTCCAGGATGCTGTCTTAATTTTCTGACCATTTCTCTCTGTTCCTGTAAGTGCTTCATCACTGGCTCCTACACTTGCTGGATACTTTCCTACCACCCTAAAGTCCTTGATTTGCTGGTATTTGTAAGCTTCTGACCTGGCTCTGGTCAGAGACTTAATGAAAATGGACGCAGCACTTTGAGTGCAAAGTAGTGTGCACATCAGTTACCCTAGTTGCAGTGCTGTGCATCTTCCTGGGAATCGCAGCAAGCAGAGTTGAGGTTGCCAGAACTGAGGTCTGTTCTCACTTTCATGTTTCTCTTTCTCCCTAGGGTGTGATTGACTACATTTTCTATTCCAACACTCATATGAACGTGCTTGGTGTCCTGGGGCCTTTGGACCCTCAGTGGCTGGTTGAGAACAACATCACTGGGTGTCCACACCCTCACATCCCTTCAGACCACTTCTCACTGTTAACACAACTCGAACTCCATCCTCCGCTCCTGCCTCTTGTCAACGGTGTGCACTTGCCCAACAGGAGGTAGTGGAGCCCTGCCCCTTTGAGGGCAAGGACCTGTTGTTATGGACCTGTACAGTTGTAAATCAAAGTATATAGGAGTGAAGTATGGCCAACCTTAAGCTGCTTCTTCAAGCTCCTTTCCTTATGTGTTTGATGAGATTTTGCACATTTTGGTGCATACTGGTATCATTTGGCACTAGGGCTGGAACCAAAGTATTATTCCCTTACCAGGTTTTTAATTTAATTTTTTTTTTTTTTAACTGGCAAGCTTTTTCTTTTTGGTAGGAAGCTGCACTTAGAAATGGACAAATGAGATTAAAAACTTACATATTAACATATTTAAAGGTAATGCTTTTTTTCCAGAACGTGGTAAAATGAGTCAACCTTTTAGGAGAAAAGCCTTTTAGAAAGAAAAACAAGAATAGAAGTGATTGCTTTGTAGGAAGAACATTAGAAATTCTGTTTGAACCCAAAGTGAAGACTGAGCTCTGTGTCCAAAATAAATTTTGCACATTAGCAAAGCACTTAATTCCTGACTGTAAATTATTATCAGTGTGGCCCTGCCCATTATCTAATACTAGAAAACCAAAGATGGCTTCATGTCTGCAAAAAAACTTGAGGTCTAAATTCTGATGCAGTTTCGTTTACAACAAAAATCCAATGAACCTACTTCTCACAAGAATCCATACGTGAGCATTTCATGCCATTACGGAGTGCTTGCTTGGCAGATGTGACAGTAACCTTGTTCTGGATCTCTGAAGAACCTGATTCTTTCTGGGTAAGGTGTTCAGGAATCCAAACAGTCTCTGTGAGACAGAGCTGTCTCTGCTTTGGCAAGCCAGGACAGGATGCTGGTCAGCAGAATAGTTTGGGAGCAGGATTTGGAAAGGATTTGCACTTAAAGCAAGCCATTGCAAGCTTTTGAGAATGGAGAAGTTCCAGATCCGCTCTAGGTTCCCTTTTCCAAAGGTCTTTTGCAAAGATGAGATGCATTGGGTTAACTGGCTAAGCTTAGGGTACAGGAAAAAGCTGCTGGAAATGATCACACTTCTGTCTCCACAGCACGTGTGAAGCAGCCTTTCCACAAGGGGAAGAGAGTGGTAGCCGTTATCATTCCCTGCATTATTTTTCCTGATCCTAGTTGCCAAATAGCTGTCAGATGTTTTGAGTAATCTTTCATTTCTGTTGTTGGTCAGGGTTGAATTAAAAAGCTTCTGGTTCATTCCCAGCTGTTAATGCTCTTGAGATGTGTTGGAAATCCTTTTTTTCTTTTTATGCTCTTGGTGGCCAGTTCCAAACCTTGTGCCTCAAGGGGCATTAAACCTAATGTAGTTTTCTGGAAGAAAATTGGTTGGCTGCTTAATGTTAAAAGAAAAATGGCACAGTAATAGGAAAAGGTTGTGTCTGTGTTTTTAAGTTTTTCTTTATTCTGCTTTTTTGCTGCTATAAGATTTTCTTGAATTTATATTTTAAACTTTTCATGCACTTTACTGTTTCTAGTCTCAAAATGTGATATTTTTAATAAATGAAAAAATTTTCCATTATCTGAATGCAATTTTTAAACAGATTGATAGCCTATATTTATGTCTCATTCGTATACTTAACAGACAAATTTAAATTGTTAAATAATTAGTTTAAATGCTAAGGAGCCATCTTCTGTCTCTCAGAACTGACAAGTCAGGCTGTTCCTCTACTCTTTGATACTCTGTTTCCTTTGTTGTTTTGTACATAGGAAATTATCCATAGGAAAAGTCAATTGGACCCAGAGTAGAAGTATTCCCTGACTTCTGCTGAGGGGGACGGGACAGGAGTGGGACAGAATGCTAAGATGAGTTCAGTGAAATGACAGCTCCCTTTAAAAGAAGTGCCTAAAACTGGAGACGTCATCTATTGTCTGATACAAATTGGAAATTACCATAGCTGGGTGAAATTAACAGATGTAAATTGCTTTGTGCAGCACCAAAAAAGCCCTTTCTAAAGAAGAATTTTCCTCTAGGTGCAGGTATCTTCTTTTAATATACCTCAGTGTTCAACACCTAGCCATGCAGGTAAATTGAGACAGCAATTGAGTATAGTACTGGAAAGTAGAATAGCATGAAAAACTTAATTTTGTGGACATTACCTTTCTGTAATCAGCTACTGTATCTCTTCTGGAGGGGTTCTCTACTCTGGAGGTGTGCACTAACAACCATTCTCCTCCTGTCCTACACGCATGTTAACTAGCAACGTGAGCAATAGTTCCACCATACTTCACTCCCAATATTTTTTGAGATGTTTGTATAAAATGGAATTTAAAGTTCACCTATGATTGTATATGAACTGCAGAGGAGCCCATTTATTAATAAAAAGAAAAAACGGCAACAATCTTTTGTAATATCAGGGTGGGAGAGGGTGGGGGTGAAACAAAAGCACCTGGTAAACATTGTAAACAGCTACGTTGTACTTTCTTTGGGTTTATAACTGACTGAAGTGTTCTGTTGCAGGAAGGTGTTTAATTGGATTTTCTCTGCTTCAAAATGCACTTCAGAACGTCCATTATGCTGTGTGATTTTTAAAATGCTGTTCAAACAGATGTTGCACAAAACCTCTGGATTTTAAAAAATCTCTTTAGAACTCTGTTTTTGTTTCTGTCGATGCACATAACCAGGGCATGTTTACTCGCCTCACACATGTCTGGCTCCCTCCCTCTTTTCCTCTGGTTTCTCCCCCTTTCCTACAAAAGGAGCAGTAAGGGGTTGTGCTTTTTTCCAGCTGAGCAGAACTGCTGCTCTTCATAGAGCTCTGCCCTGAGACAAGAAGAAGCATGGAGCCATCAGCCACGAGCCACGTGCATGGGATGAGATCTGTTTCACAGTCATCTGCAGCATCCTGATGATGGTGACATTCATTTTCTTTTGACTCAGATGGAGGCTGACAGTGCCTCATAGGGTATGTTAAAGGGGAGAGGGAGGGAAATAATAGAGAGCAAAATATCCCTAACTGTAAACACATTAATGGGAAACCAGTGGTTCTCTCCATCGCCGACCCTTGTTTCCCATGCTTAGGCACTGGGCACATCACAGTGCATTCATCACCTGTGCTTAGGAAAAAGCCCTCAGCCCCTTCCTGCTCCTTGCTTTCTTGGTTGGGTTTCAATGATATCGTGCCTGGTGTCAACTTCTAAGCAGCAGCACTGCCTAAAGCAAGCAGAGAAAAAAAATCCAGCACCATTCTACAAGCAACTTTTTAAAATTCAATATGGTAAATCTGTTAGATATGGGGTTTTGTGTGTATATATATATATATATATAAAAGAGAATTTTGTACATTGTAGCTGAATATTTTGGTTTCCTTATTTTGATGTAAGGGGTGTGAACATTTGTGTACCATACGCTGAAGTCAGGTTTGGCACAATGGGCTCTGAAAGCAGCTCTTCTTCCCATTGGCCTCATTAAAAGCTTTTTCCATCGGTTTATTACATCTATATTCAGAAAATACTTCATTTTATCCATAAGCTTTCTATGTGTGCTTGAAGCCACTCTCTTTAGTCTGCAGAACCCTTCAGAAAAGTTCTTGTCGGTCTCAACCCCTTGCTGTCCTGTGTTTTACCAACTATAGAGCCCAGAGTTTTGGAGCCAAACCTGTTGAGAAGTTTTTGCCACTGACCTTTCAGAGCCATTCCATGGTCTTCAGAGCTGTGGCAGTGCCGTGGACCACTGGGGCCTCCCACCTTGCAGCTTTGCTGTAGGGTCTCCTAAACTCATGCCCAATCCGTGCTTATGCACCAAGCCCGTAGCCTTGTTTACAAAGCAGCTTGCACTTGCAGCTCCCAAATCCCGAATACAGGGCTGGATTTCTTATGGTGTATCAGCGTGGCTTTCGAGGGCCACCTTTCCTTACCTAGCTTGGGTTTGAAGTGCAAGGAAGCATTGGAGATGTGGAAAGTTCACATCACTTGTTCTCTACAAGGTGGCTAAAAGCCCTTAGGAGGTTCCTAGAGCACAAGCACAGTAAGCATGCACATGCCTTCCTGGTAGGAGCAGGGATGACAGTCCTTCATGTCAAAGACCAGATTTAAGCCTAGTCATGCACTCTTCATTTTTCCCAATGTGTTTTAAGTTTCTCGCATGAAAACTTTCCCTTGGCATGAAATTTAAAATAGTGGGATGATGTGAAAGATTTTTTTAATCCTATCCACATCAAGTCAATAGCCTGCAAGAGAAAGAACATGAAAGTGTGATCTGCACCCTTACCTGGGTGTGAGAGGAACAGCAGTTGTTATCCCCCGGTGACCTCAGCTTTGTGCTTAATTACCATTTGCCTGTTCTTGGCTGCTATGCATTTCTTAACAGACGTTTTTCTTGTAATGATAATAAAGACCAAAGGCCAAAATTGAACATAAGGAATGATGCTTTCCCTGTCGCACCTCTTCGGCAGGCACTCCTTGCAGCCTCTCGAGACGATAGCAAAGTGTTAGAATGAGAAGTGTCTCACTGTTTTACATCAGCTTGTTGTTCTTTTGCAGTGGATTCGGGTTTTCTTTGGTAATAATCACAGAATTCCTTTCCTCACTTCATGCCAGTATAGCAGATGGTGTTGCATGTAGGTGGATTTGAAGGGTGCAGACTTCAGAGCCTGCTGTGTGCTATGTTACTGCTAATTGACAGGGGAAGGGAAAGGGAAAGGAAGGGAATGGAAAAGGGGAATCTGCTGAAGCTCGCTTTGGCTTCAGAATGGGGAAGATTTTGACAGTCAGATTTCCTATGCCTGAAAAGGATCCGAACTGCTTGGTTGCAGAGAATTTTATACAGATGAGAGACTGGAAAATAAATGCACCCTATGTGTAGAGGGATTTGGATTTTTCTGAGATACATTCTTATTAGCTGAATCTCTTCATCTCATAATGAGGAAAGGCATCTTGGATTATGCAGCTCATCTTTTTTTTTTAAATGACTACAGAAGTATTTAGCACACCCTCCTTTTATCTCCCTTCAGTGTTCAAAAGCAGCATAAAACCCAAGAAAACCTGATGAAAACCATTCATTTCCTACATCTGTATGCCAAGTGTCAGCCCAGAAAGCACTTTAAGGTTAAAAACCAATTTCAAAGGAGATTATAAAGCTTTAGATACAGACACAGCCATAGGTGACATAGTATCTCCTCTTGTGACAACGTTTGCACAGATACCGAGCACAGGTTTTCTGTTCTGAGAAATGGAGCTGGGACAAAAGGCAGAGCTGGTGAGACAGGCACAGGTATGACACATTCAGAAAGGTGACAAAATTGCACCATCAAGAAAGTGACAAAACTAGCACCTTTTAAGGACTTGAGAAAAGTCATTTGACTCTATGATGGGTATTCAGATGTGACAAAGTTTTCAGGTTTGGCTATATTGGAGGGTGATGGACTTCAGGATAAGTTCCTTGACATATGTCTGAAAATAAACAAGAAGCTAGAAAAATGCTTGTGCACTTTGGTACAGGATTTTTCAAACATCATTGATGGCAAAGCATGCCAAGTGATATGACTCCTTCCTTCCCCCAGTCCTGCAATAACACAAGGTATTTAGCTTAGAAAACCTCTCACTGGTGAGGGTGAGGGTTTGAGTGATTCTGGTACTTGGTCTTGTTCTCTTTGTTGAACAGTTTCTAAAACTTAGGCATTTACCAAATTTGCGTTTGTCTGTATTTGTCTTTGTTCCAAAGCAAAAAAAGAAAATCATGGTGGCTCTCTTTACAAGTGACATATTACGTGACTTTGGCTTTGTTTTCAGTTTTTAATTATTGCATCATGTGTTTCCTTTTCAAGCAATTAAAGTGTTTGTGTGCACCACGTTAGCTAAAGATGCCCTTAATTCATAAACCCACAGGTGTGGCCACCCCCCTGCCCCTTCCTGCAGTTCTCCTTTGGGGAGGCTGGGTGCTTTTCAGCTGGACCTCTTTCTTGTGCTTTGTTTCTGCAACGGCTGTGTCCTCCCCCCAAAGGTGGAACTGCACACGGAGAATTGGGAAGCAGTGGTGTCACTCTGGGTCATGCTTACACTGAAGTTTTAAGGGGATTTCCATTGCACTTTGTGCAAATGGAATTGGGAGGTTTTTGTGAGCTGAGGCTCCTCTGGCCACTTGGCCACCTGGAGCTGGGCTGGAAGCCAGGAGTTGCCCTCTGTTCCCCCATGCCCTCAGACTGTGTGCCAGCCCTGGGAGCCACCAGCCGCATACCAACACACTGCAAGTCTTCCAGGCATTCTCATGCCTGACACCAGCCCTCAGGTCCTCAGTTGCAAGAGCAGCACTTCTGAACAGAAACATAGCAACATGCTTCTTTCACATTTCCCACAGGAATAAGTAGTAAGGAATTCTTTCTGCCCATTTCCCACTTGCAGTAGTTGATGCACTATTAAAAGGGAATGCCAGCTCCACTTGCACAAAATGATTCTTTCTACACACTGAAAAGACTCCATTATGGACAATGTGCCATTTCCAACAATCTCTTGTTGGTGTTCCTGGGACACAGGAAGGAAGGTGCAAAGGTACTGTCCAGGGCTATTCCTCACCAGGGATGTTCAGAGACCACCTCCACCAGTTTTTGGGAAATCTCCCACTTCCCTCCTATTTCCCCATGCTCACACAGCTGAGAGGCAGCACTGCTGCCACCAGCATTGAGCTTTTCAGAGGTCAGACCACGTCTTACTCACAGCACACACCACTCAAGGTCCTTCCTTTGGCGCAGGAAAATGCACAAAGAAGCACAAAACCTCCAGATCCTTGGGGCAGAGGAAAGACAGCACACATAGGAAACACCCTGCAGCCCTGCCTGTGGGCTTCACAGTGCCACAGTTCCCATCTAACCCATCCTGGAGCTGCATGCAATGGAAACATGATATTCACACAAATCTTCATGGAAAGAGTCAAGGGCAGAGCACTCAGAGTTTAATTGAGCCCTGGATGGGCATCATGCATGGGGACAGCAGAATCACCAAAATGTAGGGCAACACCAGGGTCTGGCAAGACAGCCTGGTTTTTTGGGGAGGTTGGAGGGGAAGAAAGGCTCCTTTCCCCAGCCAAAACCAGGGCTGGACAGAGGGAGGGACGGGCGGCGCTGGGGAAGGGATGCAGGTCCTGCTATGGGGCCGGTGGCTGTCTCCCCGCTTCCCCCCGTGACCGAGCGACGGCCGCCACTTCTTTTTTGGTGACATCCCTCTGCGTCAGCTTGTGGATGAGCAGCTGGATCCAGGGTGCCTCAGGGGCCACACACACCTTCTTGTTCCTCTTCAGGGTGAGGCTGCAAGGAGGCCAGACACGCTCAGCCCCTTCCCACAGCTCTCCTGACCCAACACCTTCTGTGCTCCAGTATGCATACAGGGGAGCACACACCCTGACACCCCGCTGTGAGAGAGACACGTTTGGGGGTCTTCAGCCTCCGCTGTGAGGTAACCCCCCCTTACAACAGGTGGCAGCACCCCCTGAGAGAGCGCAGGCCTTGCAAGAGGCACCACACAGCTTTGTAAAGGATGCAAGCGCCCAGGGATTTTTGCCAGGCTCCAGACTTTCACTTACATGATCTCCTTCCTCCGGCAGTGAATACCCGGTGGTGTCACGTCAATGGCGAGGATGAGCCCCAGGCCGATGACTTGGGCAGTCACTTTGACACACTTGCACCTCTTGTTGGTCAGCAGGCTCTCCAGTGACAGACCTGCACCACAGCAGCCCACGGCCGGCGCTCAGCCCCCAACCTCCCCATATCCCGTCCCCCATGGGACGCATGCAGGCGTTAGCAGGGCACGCAGCAGCACATGCTAGCATGTGCAGGGACAATCCCTCCCAAAGCAGCTCCAAGTATTTCAAATCATGCCTACAGCAGGGGTTTGGAAGATGTAACAGACATTCTAAAACTAAACCATGTGCTGCCCACTTGCCAAGCACTCAAGCTTCACAGGGTCTGAGAAGAGACGCAGCCTGAAGACCTCAGGCAAATCCCACCTCTTCAGCTTGATAGAAAAGATGAATCTTGAGTTCAGAGAGAGCCAGAAGCAGAAAGCCAAAAGCTCAGAGAAGCCCACGGGCCCACCGCCCCCACCCAGGGTTCACAGGGGGTCCCCAGGTCCCTCACTCACCATTCCCTGGCAGCAGGCTGCTCAGCAGCAGGCCCAGGGCCAGTGCCGCCTGCAGCGCCCGCATCCTCACTGCCCCCGAGCCACTGCCAGGCTGCTTTATAGCCAACCCAGTGGGGATTTCATAGGCTGGGAAACACTGGGGGAAAAGCATCTGCCCTGTACCCATGAATTTGACTTCCCTGCCATTGCTTCCCCTCCAGCACGTGGCCTGAAACACCTCCTGCCCAATGCAGAAACCAGCAGAGCCCCATCCTACAAGCACAGCTCACATGGCGGCAGGAAAGGTAAGTGATGAGCAGGAGGCCCTGCCCCATGGCATGCTGCAGGGACACCAGCGATGGTAAATGAGGGAGGGCTGCTGCCTTTATTAGACCTCAGTGTCTTGTGCTCGGAGGGGACATCTCACTTGTTGCTGATGGTGGGGGGCTGCGGGATGCATCACTGTGGAGCTGGGGAAAAGCCTCTGCCTTTCCACGGGTGCATAACAGGGGAAAATGTTCTCTGGGCTGGGGGAGAAGCAGTGGTGGGGAGCAGGGTATCCAGCCATGAGTGCAGCCATAGGGCCATCGTGCCGGGCCTCAGTGGGGAGCAGCTTTCTTCTTCCTGTCAGGAGCAGAAGAGGAAAATGTGCAAAGAGCAGGCCCAAGGGATGGCTCAGGAGCCCCAGGTCTTGCTTTGCTCATCCCTCAGGTCAGGGCCAGGATGCTTACAGCTTCGGGAGGTCCTGCAGGAGCTTCCTCACCCAGAGGGTGTTGGGATCCACACAGATCCTCTCGAGGGTTTTTAGTTTAATCCTGGAAAACATGCAGGGCTTCAGCCCCTTTCCCTCCAGAGGGGAGGCTCAAGGGACTGAGCCCCTTCCTTGTCCCCAACCCATAAGGAAGAAGATCACAGAATCAAGTAGTTGACAGAGGGGGACCAGCCCTCTCACTGCCATGGGAGCCACTTACAGCACCTCCAGGCGCCGGCAGCTGCTCCCCACTGGCCGCACCTCAACGCTCTCATACTTGCGCAAGGGAATGAAGGCAGTGGTGGTCTTGGCGCAGCGACAGTTCAGGTTGCCATTGGCTTCCAGAAGGGCTGGGGAGGACACGGCCATAGCTCACGCACCACCTGAAAACCCACCTTCCCATCTGCCTCCAAAAACTTTTCCAGGCACTGCATCCCCCCCTTTCCACGTCCCTTCAAAGCCAGTGCATCTGCCTCTGAAGACCCTTAAGAAACAAATTCAACCCCTGAGAGCAACAGGATGCTCCTCCAAAAATGATGCCCAGCCCTGTGCATTGCCTCCCCTTGCCTCACCTGCATCCCCAGGGCACAGGACCACCAGCAGCAGCCCCAGCAGCAGGGTTGCCCGCACTGCCATACCGACAGGACCTGGCCCCAGCCCAGCAGCATCCCCTATTTGAGCCAGGGAATAGGAGAAGTGTGGCTGCACACGGGAGGCCCCAGGGTTGGGGGTGGTTTTCACCCGTTGCCCTTTCCTGCTGACGGTGCTGGCTGGGTTTGTAATGCTGATAATAAAAACACAGGGGCATGGTCTTCCTGAAAATGGCTCAGTTTTCTTTTTCCAAAGAAGCTGGGTCTGGTAACAATAGCTGTCATTTCCCCCAGTGCTAGTTCCTAGCTCATGCAGCCATGCAAAGCTGGAAGGTCTTGGAGTGTTCTTTCTTCTTGTGTGGTCAGATGTTAACTGTTTCTCTACAGCCACTATTTGCATGTCAGCTGTAGCAGCCATCCCATCTCATGAAGATGCCCCACTCCATTCATACATACAGGACACACCATCCCATCCATAAAAGATGTACACTGTTTACTTCAGGATACTAATAATTAGTGGGATATAAGTTAATGAAGCAACGCTGAATGGCAGAAGGTATATGACACATGCATCCTACAAACAGCTCTCTCCCTGAAAAGAACAGCTTGAGCTTTTGCATACTTGCCCTTGCTCCTTCCCCCACACCCTATTATCCTAATTCTGTGGGAAGCAGCCTCACACCAGCCCCAGGATGCCTCTATTTGCTTTTTGCTGCTTATAAAACCTTACAGCTGCCTGCAGACCCCATACCCACTTGAACACCTGCACTTGGATGCGGCTGCACATGCTGAATCTGTGAGAAAGCTTGTGCCCCCGCCCCCTAACACACCTGACCTACAGCAACAACACTGTGTGCACGAAGCAGCACGTAGTGCCTGCAGCACCTCTGTGAAAGGATATCAATCACAGAGCACCAGGCAGAGGCGGCAGTGATTTCAGCATCAAGAAAGCAACAAAAGTGGGATTGATCAGTGCTCAACAGAGTCCTTTAAAATTCAGTTCAAGGGAAAACACAAGGGAAGAAAAACCCAAATTTTATTTGACTTGAGGTCTTGAGACAGAACACACCATGCCTTCCGAACACCAACTTCCTTAGCAGGAAGCTTATCTTTTCTTCCTGCAAAAAGCAGAAGGAGGAGAAACTCATGAATGGTGTAGGGCTCTGGGGGAGGAAGCTCCTGTCAGAGCCAAAGGAAGTCACCACCACTCCCCCAGGGCTGATGTCACCCACAGGAACAGCTTGGCACCCCTTCTGCTGTGCCAGGAGCCAGAGCACCCTGCAGAAAGACACAGCTAACCCCAGGAGTCCTGGTTCCCTAAAGTGGGCCCTGCGACTGCAGGCACAACTGGATGCTGCCTGAGGGAACATTGCTTACCACAGATCAAAGGTTTTCACCAAAGAAACTTACATGCCAGCAATGCGCTTCAGCAGTTTCTTTACCCAAGGGGCATCAGGGTTCACACACACTTTTGCTGAGGATTTCAGTTTAATGCTGAAATGCAAGGGATAGTTATAAGCATCACACTCCCTCCAGAGGCAGGGATTTGAACAGACAGAGCTGATCTGCAGGAACCAGCTTCCACTCAGCACTGCAAGCAGGGAGCTGCAGAATGCTGCTTGCAAGATGGGGGAGCCACAGGACAGCTAGAAAAGGGTAAGAAGCAGGAGGCAGCGCGCACTGGGCACAAACTGCTGCCATTCAAAGAGGTTTCTTCTGTAGCTTTGCACTCGTGTTGCTGAGATGGCCAGTATTTTTGGAAGGCTTTAGCTTTCAGAAGGGAAGCAGAGAAACATGGTGGTTGCAGAAGAAAGCGTTCAGTGTTGGCCCTGCTGCTGGAGAGAAGAGCATCTCTGCCTCATAGCTATGGCCAAGCACTCACAGCACTTACATGATTTCTGTGCGCCTGCAAGTGCTTCCCACAGGCCTTAACTCAATGCTGTCATATCTCTTAGGACTGATGTAGTCTGAAGTTGTCTTTACACACCTGCAGCTCAGGTTTCCGTTTACTTCCAGGATGGCTGAGAAAGAGAGAAGGTGACAACTTACAGAAACAAACAGCATTATTTAGAGACTCAATGATCCTAAAATTCAGTGAGCTTAACAAGTTGTCCCCTTCCATGCTTTCACTGACAGTGCTTTCAGGGCCAGCATAAGAAGTTATCTGTGTCCATATCCTTGCACCCTGCTCTCAAAAGCTAAACCAGCTCCTAACACAGGAGGAATGGAGAGCTACTCCATGTGCTATAGGAGAAACCCTGTGTTAAGCAGTCAGGAGGGATCTCTGCCTCTTCTGGGCCATCCTGATACAAGATGAAGGCTGAACACCCACCCCTACCAAAGTTACCTATACGAAGGCACCAGGAGCTCACCTGCTTGGGACATTGACATCATCACCACCACCAGCAGCAGCACCATCCATGGGAGTGCAGCAGCTCCTGTCCCATCCCTCGCCAGTGCTCGCATCCTCACAGTGGCTGCAGCCTCAGGGACGATGCGGGGAGCAAGGGGGAAGACACCTCTATTTATTTGGCAGTGTCACGCTCTGACACAAGCAGCAAGAGGCAGACTGCAGCAGTCACACACGACAAATGGACCGTAAAGAGATGACATCATTTCTCGGCTTCTCACCGCAGCCGGATCAGAAGCCCAACATGCAGCATTATTGATAAAAGTCAGCTATCTGGATGAAGGGTGGATTTGAATTTCTCACATTATCTCTACCTCCCCCAATCCTTTCTCATTAGCTGGGTCTGCGTAAATGTAATCAACATTCATTCCCCTCACTGTTTACTCTTCAACCACAAAGAGAACCCAAAATACATCAGAACGCAAACCCCATGCAAGGGGTTTTTTATTGCAGTCAGATATTTACATATTTGGGGCTATAATTCCCCACACTATTTTTTGCTCTTACATCAGCAAAAAAGCACTGTACAGTGGAAAATAATAATGATCTCCGCAATATATTTCCACTCTTACCCTTCAAATCAAGCACTTCCCTGTGCTAACAAAAACATCCAGGAAATGCAAAAAGTTACTGGTTCAGTAGTAACAAGAAGGGAACAGCAGAAGGGAAACTATCCCTATGCATTTGCAAATCTGTGGCTAAATGCTGATGCGTGCATTTTGTGGCAATTTGCTACATATCAGCAGAGTGGGAGTGAAATACTGATGGACGTCTGACACTGGTGGGGGGAACTTGGCACAACCGCTTCCCTTGCGCACACACACCCTGTATGTTACATTCACAACATTCTATGGCACAGGGATCAAATCCCCACTTGGATGAGCCAAGATCCAGGGCTCCTCCTATTTAGCCCCTTGGCAGCATTTAGGCACTATAGGATCCCACAATGCTAGCAGCTCCTTCTCTGACACAAGAGGATCACTTTCAGCTGGCACTGCAAAGTGGTGCCCACAGCAGTGCCCTGCACGCTCAGGTTATGATGGGGCTGGGGCTGCTCCCAATGAGGAAAAGTCACCAGCCAGGGAGCAACAGGGCAAAGGAACAAAGAGAGGAGAAAGACAGAAAGCAGTAGAAAGACAATGTGGTTATGTGATAACATTGTAATTGAGAGCTTTCAGATCACATCTTTGTTTTATATAGTAAAATTTGACTTTTCCACTCAAACCAGGAGCCCCTCTTTTTTTTGCTTAGAATCTTATTTTTCTTTGAGACACGTGCAAAAATCTTGCAAAGACTTTTTTCAAGAGATCAGTGCCAAAAATGAATGAATGAGAAGTTTATCTCCCTTTGCATTGGAGTCCCAGAGAGTCTGGGAACAGTTTCCACTTCTATTAAACGACTGAAGTTCCATCTCAGATTCATCTCCTGGATTCATGTTCAAACACAGATTTTCATAGCAAAGCCCAGATTTTGCTCAGTCACAGGAGTGATGTGCTTGGGTTTTCCCCAGGATGTCAGGCAGTTGGGTGAATC